TCCTTCACTTGTTTGACCCTTCTCTCCGTCGCAGCGTCTAACTTTGGCTCCAACGACTTGGTGGGGACCTTCCAAATCGTGCGCACTTCCCTTCTGCCACTGGTCGACACAAAAAACCATTTTGGCCGCCAACCCTTCACCGCTGAGGGCAGTCCCGCCACCAATCCCGTTTCCGCTATGGCTTGCAGGGTCACCCAAGTCTCTTGTTGCCCTAAAGCCTTACAGCAGGAGAAAAATTCGTTCACCATCATTTCCTCTCCTTCGATCGCTTGTGGCCACGCGATTGTGCAGGCAAATAAAATCTTCTACGCGTTCGACATTAGTTGTCTTGGGGTCACCTCCAGGCGATTCAACACTTCGACCACTAGCTGTGGGAGGGGCAACCTCAGACCCCTCGCAGCACTTCTTTGTACAGGGCGAATTCCATCGGCCGTGCGTCAGATGCCCTCTTTTTCGCCGTGGACAGTCTTAACTCTACATTGGCCGAAATTTGGTATTTGCCACGTAACTCCTCTAGATCCTTTGCTATTAGCGTAGATTTGTCTGCCTTTGTATGCCAGTCGTCAGGCACTACTTGACTAATCGGTTGGGCTGCTGAGATCATCGTCGACGACAGAGGTCGCATTGGCCATTCCACGCCCCTTTCCTTTCCCCAAGACTCTCGGCTCTGTACTATTCCGCCAGAGCCACTCCATCATCCTCTCCTAATGTGTTCGATGCCATGGTAGGTGCTTTGTCTTGTGCCATCTCCTTTACGTTTTTATATATCGCTTCGGTTGTGGGGGCTAGGATATTTGCAATATGAAAGAGAGGTGAATCCACCGAGATATAAGAGCTAAAATCTAGAATGTATTGATTTTTCGCAATCAGGTAAGAAAAGTGTACAAGTACGAATGCCTAGGGCTTGCTTGTGTTCCAAGGGTCGTGGTTAAATTTTGCCAGTTTGAAAATCCCACAATAGTTTAAAATCCCCGCCTGTCCCCTTATCAAACCTTTCTTTTCTTACAGCCGATTCGACATCTGTCACTAGTGACCTCGATTGCTCCACGTGTATGACCATGATCCCTCAATTCTCCTACTAATTCTCTTTCATTTCTCTTGTTTATTCACTTCACATCACCACGTGCTTACCTACCCTTCGAGCCCCGTGCACCATCAATGCGCTTACGGCAGCCTTTATGGTCGGCCAGCCCGACTGCCATCTTTCACGTTCGGTTGCATTCACGCTCGGCCAGCCTGACCATCATCTTTTGCGCTCGGCCGCCTTCACGGTTGGCTAGCTCGACTATCATCTTTCACAGTTGGCCAGCCCGACCATCATCCTTTGCGCTTGGTCGCCTTTACGGTCTGCCAGCCCAACTGTCATCTTTCACGTTGGGCCGCTTTCATGGTCGGCCAAACTGACCATCATCTTTTGTGCTCGGCCAGCTCGACTGCCATCTTTCATACTCGGCTGCCTTCACGGTCAGCCAGCTCGACTATCATCTTCAGCGCTTGGCTACTTTCACGGTCGACCAGCCCGACCATCTTCTCTCACGTTCGATCGCCTTTACAGTTGGCTAGCCCGACCACCATCTTTTGCTCTTGGCCACTTTCAGGGTCGGCCATCTTGGCATTCGGTCGGCCTTTTCTTACCACTCCACCAACCTCCCGCCCCACCCTAGCCCCCTCCCTGGCTCTTCGGGACTCCCGACACCTTCTTATTCCCTTCGTTGGACTAAAGATGCACTTGGGAATGGGGGACTACTAATACTAACAGGCATCTAAGAGGGCCTAGCCCACGGTCTGGGTAATGCTGGACCAGGACCAATAGCACGCAAACACAGGCAGGAAAATAGCTACGTAAATAGACAAAGATCTTGCAAAGTTATTGAGCCCACACATAAGCCATTTAATGAGGTCCTTGCAGCATTAAATGTAGCAAGCCCTTTGTGCCAGAGGAAGCAGACTCACCATGAACGATGGAAACTAGACTATAGACTTTCAGCCAACAAGACAGTCTGGAATGGACGAGGAAATGATGAGTAAAGGATATAAGGAAACTTTCAAGATACGTTAAAGGTTAAGTTCTTCCTCTGTCTCTTCTATTTATTTATAATCAATCTCTCCTAACCTAACTTGATCGTCGGAGTGTCCGTCAGGGGGATCCCCTCCTCCTCCGGACCTTTTTGCAGGCTTGTTTGGGAAACACCGAGGTCAACAGACCCGTTGAAAGTGTGGATCAGTCCGACCTATCATTTATTGGAACCGTTGCATCATCAATTTTTAACACAAGAAATTCTCAAATCGATGTGGAACTTTCATCTTTCAGAACAATTTCAACCTTCTTTCATTTGGTATAATCACTAAATTCAATATCTTCCAAATAAATTTCATCCGTTGCAAATGGCCTACTTCTAACACTTTTGTTAGTCACGACTCAATGATATCTACCTTATTCACAGCCGATATCGTCCTAGATGAGATCTCGTGTTGCATTAAGCCCCCACCTAATTATGCTCTCAACATATTAGTGGCAGTAAAAGTGATTGGCTATGAATATGCCAACAGACGACTATGATTTCTAGGGCTTTAACCATTAAGTGTGGATAATATAGTAGATAAGAGCAAAAGTCATAAAAAAATATAAATGGATGGATTGTAAATCTAATTTTGAAATTTGGAAAAATGAGCAACCTAACCTTTAAAAAATCTTGACTAAATTACACCTACATCTTTTGAAATTTAGATTTAATATATATCACTTCCTAACATTTAAAAAATTATACTAATCTCTTATCATTGTAATTATTTAAAAGGAATGAAAATATTAAATTCATGCACTATCCTTTTTTTTTTTTTTTGCTTTTTTTCCCCTTTCCTTTGTTTTACCTTTTTTTTTTATTCAATGTAATTTTTTTTTTCCAACTATGAATTATTGCCTTTTATATAAACAGGAGAGTTTATAAAATAAGACTATTAACCATAAGGGTGAAAATATAATTTTTAAAATGTCAGGAGGTGAGATATAATTAGACCAAATCTTAGAGACTGTCAGCGTAATTTACCCAAAAATCTTTTACAAGAATCAAAAGAGGAACCTATTAGGGGGGTATCCTTATTTATTTTATGTTTCATTTGGTTTACCTAGTACATTGATTCATCTTGTTGATCCATAGTTTTGGATTAAAAAAGTGCAAGCAATAAGAGCTCCCCAAAAAAGTATTCCACTGTTTTTATTTATATTTATATTTTTTTATACTATTATAATATGAAAGTAATAGGAGTGATATAATTTTCTGTAATAATTATCTTTCAATCCTTATTTGTATAAATATTTTTTTAAATATTAAATATAATCAGACATTTCTAGTCCATTGTATCCTGTGACCCATAGGGGGCTTGACCGAGCTTCCACGGTTTTAATAATGGTTGACATGAGACACCATTTAAATTTAAAAATTAAATTGATAAAATTTAAAAAACAAGTATTAAAGTGCCTAAATGTAAATGATACTGCATGAATTATAAATATCAATCAAGTTGAGTCTTTTTTAAAACAAACAATTTTAAGGACACAGGTTAACATAATCCTATTATAACGTATAATTATATTAAATTTCCGTTTGGAAATTTAATTTTTTAGTTAAACTAATTAAAAAGTCAAAAAATTACTCAAAAAAAAAGCGAGTCAAATATCTCAATAATACGTGATTTTGCTATAATTAAAAAGTCATTTCCAAAAAAATAGAACTTATTTTTTTTTCATTTCATAAAAAAGTTAAAAAATTACTAAAAAAGTCAATTCTTAGACAAGATTTTAAATTTAAGTAAAAAATAGCTAACTTATTTGAATCGAACCTTTAATTGATCTAGACTTGCAAAATTATTATAAACATCATCCCCGGTGGAAAAATTATTAGGTACTGACGGAGTACTACGTAGTCATATTCTCTCATCAATTACTATTTATTACGTCTCTTCATGTTCCCTAAGTACCTAATAAAAATAATTAATATCCCAACTTTTTCATCAATTATATTATCATAAAGCATCATATGGCCATATTTGAGAGCTACCAAATAATCCAAATTCGTTTAGGAATCAAGTTGACTTTGGCTGCAGATACATGCATCACCCGGGTGCTTCTAAGCACACATTAGATATTTCAATGCATTTATGCGTATAAATAATGATTGGGTTATTTAGTAAAAGATCTATTTTGGGTCTTGCTGGAGACCCCCAGCACCCCCACCTCCCCGTGGGGGGCTGGCAATGGAAGAAAAAAAAAAAAATTTATTTTTTTAGACCAATCAAAAGGGACCCCAGCACCCCACTGGGGGTTCTATGTATTTTCCATTTTTATGAGTGTCTAATGATGAATTTTTTTGGATTAGAAAGACGTAGTTATTGAAATCTATTGACTGAGAATGGATAAATTATTATTTTAAATGACATTTTTTTCTCTTCATTTTTACTTTCATTCTTTTTCTATCTCTGTTTCCTTTTTCTTTTATTTTTTTAACATACTACTATCAATCGGTGTGGCCAGTCACAATCAACTTGTAGGAAAAGTGCTCGGAAAATTGGTCGGCGCCGGAAGAGTCAGGAAAAGTCATTGACGGGCAACGACGGTGGACAAGTAGACATGTAGATAGATAGCTGGACTCGAGAACAAATAAGCATGACATTTAGATAGATACGTAGGCAAGTAAACAGATTTGGGTATTATGATTTTTCAAATTGTTGTTGATTTGAGGGTAATTATGTATTACATTAAAATTTGGTAGGAACTCAATTTTATTTATTTATTTTTTGAGCACGGTCAAATTTGTATAATTACAAAAAGAAGCCGACGTCTCGTACTGTCATATTCCTGGTATTAAACCAGGACTGTTTCCCATTGTTTTGTGACAACTTGGATGACTCATATTTGCATTATTATTTTTATTTATTTATTGTGGATATTTGTGATCTTCAAGGTATATATATAGACACACAGTCTTTCAATTCATACCAAAACACTAACGATTCATATGTGAATTCAATCATATTCAACTCTTTCTATTGCTAGAGAATTAGCCATGGCAAGTGTAAAGCTCATAGGAGCCTCACCAAGCCCATTTGTGAACCGGGTTCAAATTGCTTTGAACCTAAAATCAATCGACTATGAGTTCTTAGAAGAGACATTTGGTGCGAAAAGTGAGCTTCTTCTTAAATCAAACCCGGTTCACAAGAAAATACCTGTTCTTATCCACAACGAGAAGCCTATATGTGAGTCCCTCATCATTATTCAATACATTGATGAGCTATGGATGTCTGGTCCCTCCATTCTCCCTTCTGATCCCTATGATCGTGCCATTGCCCGATTTTGGGGAGCCTATATTGATGATAAGGTATCGTTTTCTCATTCGTCCATTTCTTGAATTGAAGAGTATTGCACAGATTGTTTTTGTTTTTATTTTGTAGTGAAATGAAATGGTAGAACAAAGGGTGTCAATGCAATGTATGTTTCAATTTTAAAAAGCTATTTAGGGAATTATTTCGGAAAAAATTCTCTAAAACAATCCAATTTTGAGGAAGCATCAAAAAGTAGTTTTCAAAATTTTAAAAAATATTTTCACAAAAGAAAGGAGTATTTTGGAACTTTTTATTGTTTTTGTTTCTAACGATACAATAAAATTAGTTTGGTATATTATTTTCTTTTTCTACAAATGGAATCAATTTTAAAACATTTGGAAACAAAAAAATGTATTATCTTTCCTTTGCAAAACAAGTTTTTCACTTCTTCCTCCCTTCCCACCACCTTTGGCGTCATGTGGTCACCCTCTCATGACTTTAGGCAACACTTTGACTACCACCTATGGTTATCCCACAACCAGCTACTCCATTCGCCAACTCAACAAACATATTTATTTATTTAAAAATATTTATGTATATATCAAACAAGTATATGATTTTTATTTATGGCACCTAATTTTTTTTTCAATTTTATAAATGACTATAACAAAATTATATGATACAATAATTCAAATGGGGGTTGCAGTGTTCTCTAGCCGAAATTCGAAAGGCAGGAGGAGAGGAAGAGAGATTGGCAGCAGTAGACAAGGTGGTAGCAATGCTGGTGTTGTTGGAAGAGTACTTCATCAACTGCAGCAGTGAAGGAAATGGTAATTTCTTTGGCGGTGACAACATTGGTTACGTTGACATAGCACTCGGGTGCTTCCTTGGTTGGTTCAAGGTGATGGAGAAGATGCTCAATCTAAAGGTGCTAGACATAACCAAGACGCCGTGTCTGGTGAAGTGGGCCGAGAGGTTTTGCTCAGATGATGCAGTTAAGAATGCTATTCCGGAGACTGAGCAGCTTTTGGAATTTGCTAAAATCCATCTGATGTAGTGAAAAAACTCAGTCTAATTGAAATGCATGCCTTGAGTTGGGTTGGCTTACTTGGGAAGTCCATGAACTGGGAAGCTTTCATTGTGAATATTTTTTAATCTTGTTTTGTTTTCCCTTTGTAATAAATAAAACTAAGTTTAGATGTCACGAGAAAATGTTTCACGAAAATTGTTTTGAAACTATAGCCGATCGACTGATCAGCTGATCAGCACAATGTAAGATTGACCGTTCACTGCTTTCAAATATTTTTTGTGAAACTTTTTTCGTGATATGTATTATTGTTGTATAAATAAAAGAGTCCAGTTCCACGTGTGACATTTGATGTTGCTTTAATAACGCCAGGTGAGGAAAACCCGCTTTTATTTTTGTTTAGTTATTTTTTTATCTTTATTTTTCTTTTTGTATTTTTGTATTGCTTTGTATACTTTTTTTTTTTTTTTGATGGTTAAATGGGGTGATTTTCACTACAAGGATTTTTACTTTTAGTGACTAAAGTTTTAGTCGTCAAAAGTCACTATTTTAGTCACCGAAGACTTTTAGCGACAAAAATATTTGGTGGCAGAATTAGTGGGGGAAGAATTGTCAGGAAAGATCATTGTAATACATTGCCGACTAAGCTTTTAGTCGTCAAAAGGTTTGAAATAAAATTAAATATCATATTTTCAGCGACTAATTTTTTTGTCGCTAAAAGTTCAGTTATTTTTAACAACTAATCATTTAGTCGCGGAAAAGAGTTTTAGCTACTAAATATATTAGTAGCCTAAAGTAAATAACAATGTTTTGGCTACTAAGATTTTAGTCGCCTAAAGTCAAAATTTTTTTTGCCTACTAAAGGTTTAGTCGCCTAAAGTCTTACGTTTTTAGCTACTAAGATTTTAGTCGGCAAACATTTTGTGTTTGGGCTACTAAACATTTGGTCACCTAAAGTCTCACATTTTTTTGCTACTAAAGTTTTAGTCGCCAAAAGTTTTTTTTATTTCTTCAACTTATTTTTTTAGCGACGACATATTTTAGTTGCCATATGTTTCATTGTTTTTTTTTTTTTGGCTACTAAACTTTTAGTAGCCAAAACTATTTTCCGAATTTTTTTTTTAGCTACTAACAATTTGGTCGCCAAAAACATGCTCTTATGTTTTATCGCAAAATTATAATTTATTCACAACTTGTCTATATTCCATGCAACCTATAATACGTATATAAACAAACAATACATAAACTATCCATCATTTCACAACGTAAAATTATCAATCATGCCAAAGTTCATATTACTTCCAACTATCCAAAAATAAATAACTTTAAATTTATATATTCCATACAAACCAACTATTGTCCAAACTAAAATTATATTTCCATACACAAATCCAACCCGCCATATACAAAAAATATATTTACTACCATGCGATATGGCCATTTGGTGTGGTACAACTTACAATCGTAATCTGTACCACGGCAAAAGGTGATTTATATGCCACACTAGCAACTATTAGTTGGATTACAAAAGTTATATGTATCAATAATGCTAATATTCACAAAAGCAGAGAAAGACATAGTTAGCAGGATTATACAAAAGTGTCAAGTGCCCTCCATAAACAAAAATGTAGACTATCCACAAGTCTACGCCAAAAGCCATCTACAAAAAATAAAAAAACAATTGCACCCATTATAAAATATCAATTCATTTAGACATAGGAAAAATGTTGTAATAACATGCATTTAAGGTAGAACAATCTATAAAAACCTTTTTTCGAAATACAATCATATGTATGTATCATGAAAGATTTATTCCACACTTGATTTCAATTTACAAATTAATACAATTTCTAGGAGCATACCTTTTCATAAAATAAATTTTTATGAGTAGAATGTTCTGGTGGTAAATTTATTTTAACTCTTCTTGATTCTCATTTTCCTATTCAAAGTAAAATGATTGAGTAACCTACGGGGTTATCTCTATAACCATATCATGCTTTCTTAATACGTTTACCACCCAAATGACCACCGTGTATGATGAAACAATAGCATCATTTACAATGAAAATGTTAAAAATTTATTGGATGTCAAACTCTCCCTTTTTTGAATAAGTTTAAGTAGTTTTCGGCTCTAACTCCCAAATTACATGTGCTAATGACATTCTGTCTGTTGTCACAAGTCTTATATGTCACGGGGAAGTTGGCTATGACATCCCTACGTTGGTTCCGAGGCTGTTTCGCTTTTACATACCCTTAACGCCCTTTTTTGGATAAGCTTAAGGCGTTTTTGGCTCTAACTCCCAACCTACACGTGCTAATTACATTATGTCTATTGTCACAGGTCCTATTTGTCACGGGAAAGGTGGCTGTGACATCCGTACGGTGGTTCAGGGGCTGATTCGCATTTTTGCCGCTTTAACACCTTTTTTTAGCATGAAATCATGACATATTACCCTGTATGTCATTCGTAATCACCTAGTGATGTATGTTGTAGACTTTTAATCATAGCATGATTACATTAAATTTTCTTTTGGAATTTATGTTCCTTAGTTATAGAATCATTGTGCTACTGGGGAACATTTTTTCCAAAAGAGAAGTCAAGACAATCATGACCACATGGCCATTGAGTTTTACTAATAAAGTCAAAATGAAATATATCCTAGTTAATTTCATTAAAACAGAGATTAGTAAATCTATTCGTTGTATGCTCACTGGATTGTGAACTTTTCTTGATGAATGGTTGCAAAAGTAAACTGTATATGCAAATTCCACAGTAAACAGAACTGCCAAAGTTCCTACTAGAAATGAAGAAGAAAGAAGGAGACACTGTGGAAATATATATTGCTTACCTTTTGTATGTTTTGGTCCATTATGCTTTTTGTGGGGTAGCATCTTCTTAACGTTGTTATGCCAATCAAGAGTATGAATTATTCCCCACATGCAGCTTGGACAATTAACCTCAACTAGCTCGCCTTTGGATTCACTCCATAAGTGCTTTCCCATTTCTAACACTATAAACGATAATCCTAAGAACTTGATAATGGAATTTAGACACTATCTCCTCCAATCTAATAGAAGTAATTAAGCAAATACCATGTAAATAATCATTTTGATCACCAAACACATGCAACTTAGCTACTAAATTCCAAATAACCAACAATTCATTTCTTAAAAGCTTGTTAAATCTCACACAAAACAAAAATCAACCACTTTGTCAGCAAGCCAGAAAACTAGGCTTTTTACACAGATTTTTCTTGTGGTTTTTTCTAGACCAAACCCAAACAGCAATGGCCATTGGTGACGTCTTTGAGCAATCCTTTCTTATTACTACTATACTTCAATCGCTCCACAAATTCATCAATGACTTGCTTCAAACAAGACATGAGCTATTCTTTCCTCACAACCCCTTTCTCATCCTCCTTAGCTCTCATACCAACCTCCCATATCTCGTCTATAAACTTAGCATCGGTCAACTGGTCCAACCATTTAGGTACCTCAACCATTGGACATCACGAATAACCCATAAAACAATTCAAACCAATAAAACTAAAATCCATAAAACTAATTCCATAGAAATCAAACAAAAATCAAAGCAATTTTGGACATCAAGAATAACATAATTTCATAGAAATCAAACAATTCAACTAAACCTGTTTGTGAAATCAACACAAAATTAAACTAAAAAAATCATATAAACCTTAGATGAAGTGTGAGAGATGGGGAAATAAGGGAAGGTAAAGAGAGAGAGAGAGCTAGATCGACAAAGAGGGAGAAGACCGAGAGCGACAGAGAGAGAGGGACAAGAACCTGTGATTTGTAGCAGTAGAGATGGTGATTTGCGGCGATGGCCAGCGACGGTGAGGTGGTGACCGTTAGTGAGCGTGCGTCTAGTTTGGTGTACTGGTCTGTGTGTGTTTGTGAGACAGAACAGAGAAAAGATCTGTGTGAAAGAAATAAAAGGGAAGGGCGCAAATATTTCCCTCTAAAAAAAATTTGGGGCCTTTAGCGACTAAATAAATTTTTGTCGGCAAATGTAATCCGTAGTTACTAAAAGTTTGTAGCTGTTTGTTTAATATTGGCTACTAAAAATGTTTTTGTCGGTAATAACTACCCATCTATGACTACAGTTTTTTAGTCACTGATGGTTGCAATAAATAAGCCTATTTTTAGCGACTAACAAAAATTTTGGTCGGCAAAAGGCTATGTACACCGACTAAAACCATAATTAGTAGCCTAAAATGTAAACAAATGCCTACTAAAACTTTTTTAGTCGCCTATTGACATATGTTTAGTGACTAATTATTTTTTACTCGCCAATAATTAACATATGGCTACTAAAAAACTTTAGTAGCTAAAAGTTAAATCATTGCCTACCAACAGGAAAATTTGTTGGAAAGGTCCAACTTTTGGTGACTAAAAATGTTTTAGTAGCCAAAAGTGGTCGCCAAAGGTGCAGACCGTTGTAGTGTTTGAAAAAAAAGACCAAAAGGAAATATGTAACAAGAAATTTGAAAAAAGTTAAAGCACTTCGCGTGTAGAAATTATCCCATCAATTCAGATCTAGAACAATATGTGATTGTGTGCTTAACTAATGGTATTTTGTAAATTTTTGTTTCAAAATATTTCTATTGTTTTGAACTCTTCAATGAGTTGTTTTGAGAAGTTGGTTAAAAGTTAATTTTTTAACTTTTTTTAAAAAAGTATATAAAAAATAGAGAAATAATGTGACCTAGAAAAGATTAAAAGCTAAAAAGTTGACTTTCAACCTCTTTCCAAAAGAGGCCAATATACAGATTTTGTTATTGTTAGGTGACCATATCGCCAACATTGTATTATGAGAAGATTGAATAATTACAGGACTTATTTCTATTGCATGTCCCCTCTCCTTACTTTTTGGTGATTTGATTATCTCTCAACATGAATAAACATGTAACACTCGAAAAAATGTAGAATAGTTTAAACAAAAATTTATATTGTTAAATAATGCAGAAAAAGAAGAGGGGGATTGCAATGGGGGATCATAACTCTCGTAGCACTATTTGACATTTTTTTTTTGGATCAACAAAGAAAAGGGAAACTTTATTGATGAACAAAGATAGAATTACATCAATAAAGAAGAAGGAGTGGAGGAAGAGGAGTGCAAAAGCATCATAGTGAAACAAATCAATCCCAACTAGGTTGGCACCAATAAGACAACCCAATCATATGCTAGCACACCACCCAAAGGTGGTGAGTAACCAACCAAAAACACCAAACCCAAACCCAACCATAGCTAATAAAAGCTAAAACAAATCAAAACCACCATATACAAATTCAAAAATAGCAGCAACACTGGCTGGCAAACTCAG